ATTTCGCTGATTAGGGGAATTGGATAGGCATTCTTGACTGTCCATTCGTTGAGGTACCGGTAGTCTTGGCAAGGCCGTACGTCTCCATCCTTCTTGCCTACGAAGAAGAATGGTGATGCCATAGGGGATTTAGATGGTCGGATGTAGCCTTTTCCTTTAAGAATTCGTCCAGTTTCTGTTGCTCTAATGGTGACATGGGATAGAGCTTCTGATTCTTTGGAACGAATCCTTCTTTGAGATCTATTGCATGATCATAAGGTCGTCGTTCAGGAAATCGTTCTGAACTTTTCTTGTCAAAGACGTCTGCAAATTCCTTGTACCGTTCAGGTAATTCCTCTTTGCTTTTGGCTTCCTTCTCAGCTTCTGGAGTCATTCGCATTGCAGGGTTGACCTTCTTGCCAGTGTCCGTTTGTCCAGTGATAAACCGTATGAGGAGATCGTCTTCCTCTGCCTTAGTTCGTGCAATTAGGGCGTAGATGTCATCCAATTTGATCTTCCATTTTGGTGTACTTTGGAAGATGGGGTCATCGACATGTGCCAGCAGTGGTCCTTTGCAGTATTGGCGTTTGATGGAGAATTCCTCATCAGGGATTTCTTCAATGGTTACGTTTAGGATGGATTTTCTCTTTCCAAAGTCAATCCGTCCAGTAACCCAGTTGATCTCTGGGCTGTTCTTCTGTAACCAAGGTAGTCCCAAAATAACGTCTTCTTTTCCCAGGTCGGTGACCAAAAATCGGACAGAGCGGACTCGGTCTCCAATTTTCATCTGTAGGAATGCGGCCTTGGTAATGAGACCTTGCCTGTTCTTGGTGCCGTCAACATTGAAGACCTTGATTGGTCTTGGTATAGGGACCATCTTCAGTTTGTTCATCAACACAAACTTCTGGTCGATGAAAATTCCTCCAGCCCCTGAATCAATAAGGGCTTCTGCAGTCGTTTCAGCGCTTCCCTTTCCACGTGATAGCAAAATATTGATCTTCATTGACTGGTCAACAGTCTTTGCTATAGTTACAGTAGAAAGGTAGGAACGAGACGAGCCTGACGCTGATGCAGGTCGTCTTAGGCAAAATCCTTCTCCGCCATATCTTCGAGAAGCTTGATCTTGTCGTTCTCTTCAAGTTCCGCCATCATGGCTTTGATCTTGGCGATATTAGACACTTCTTTGTCTGAGTCTTCTTTGACTTCTGCGGTACGGACAGGCCTTCTGTCTGGCTGTCTTCCTTTGTCCTGCTTGTGATCGGCAGCTCTGTGGCCAGTCTGACTGCAAGTGAAGCATCGTCCTTCCTTCATGTACTTTTCCCTTTCGCTGGTCGATAGGCGATCGACGTCCATAGCATTGGGGTCCTTCGTGGGAGGAGTGTACCTTGGGGTGACAAGGTTTCTAGTCTGTCCAACTCCCTTGTATCGGTTGATGACCGCTCTCGCCCGTCGATACTGGTTGTCGAATCGGGATGTGGCTTCATACCATTCGTCAATCGTCTTAGGCATGTGCTCCATGCCGTAGACCTTCTCGACTAGCTTGTTCTGGAGTCCCTCTTGGAAGTACTCAATCAGGGATACGTCTTCAGTGATTCCGCATCGTGCGGTCAACATGCGGAACTCCGCAATGTATTCGTCTGCTGTGGCCGTCTGGCGCAGCACGCGCAACTTTGCTCTCGCATCTCCAGCGGTGTCTGCCTCAGTGAAGGTGTTCAGGAATCGTGTCGTGAAGGCTTCCCATGTGCCAAATCCTTGGTCATTGGTGAATGCCTTCGTCATCTCTGCCTCAGCCCATGGGCCGGCAGTTCCTTCTTTCAAGAAGGAGATGAAGAACGTGATCTTCTTCTCGTGGGTGTCGTAGATGTGCTTGTTGGCCATCATGTAAAGTTGAGTGGCGAGGTAAAATGTTCGGGTCTTCTTCCTGTCTCCATTGAAGTCATCTGGGAGACGGATCTTGATCTCAGTTGGTCGTGCTTGCATGACTGGTGCAGCAATGCCTGCTCCAGCCACTTGGGCAGTGGGATCGATCGGGTTCGTCATGGTTCTGGTTCAAGGGACGGGATTCCACTAGGGAGTCCAACGAGGATGATCAGGAGGAGAGGAGGGGTTGCCTAGGCTTGAAGAAGTCGGCAAGTGTCGTAGAAGAGTTCAACCTAATGTTAGGAAGCGATGTCCTAACTAGTCGTCTTGAGATAACTGGGCCACGTGCCAACAGTTATGTCGTCACTACCTCAGTAAGCGTACCGAAAGGTAGGTCTGGCCGGGCCAATGCCAACGGTCAAGTCAAGAGTCCAGGTAATCGCTGTATTCAACAGGAGGTTGAACTAAGGAATACATGGGTTTTCCTACAGTATATATAGTAACTGGTATAGGGGTTAATACCCCAAGAAGAGAACAATGAGAAAGGACGCGTAAGCTATCCTGTGAGAACGTAACTCAGAGAAATGAGAAATACAAGGGCGCCCATTGGTAGAAGGTGAGTCAAGGGAGATAACGTGTGGGAAGAAGATAGCGTCCATGAGAAGTTCTACTCAGAGAAAGGTACTGTCCAATAGCAATGCTCGGAATGGAAATGGAATGAGATAAGCATGGGAAAATCATAACAATTTCGGCTTTGCTCGTGGTCTCCTGCTTTTAGATGCTGTTTTGACACTCTGCCAGCTCAAACTCTAATTATTAATGTTGTCATCAGGTAATGCTTTCACCCGGAAATTCCATTGTCTAATGAGCATCCACTGCTACGTGGCGCACATTCAACCATTTGAAATCTGAACCCTGTCACCAGCAAGGCATAAATATGAGCTTGCCTACTAAGTTTGCTTTATTAAAGCCTCTTTCCTGAGTGATGAAAGACCCTGCTCCCCTATTAGACTTTAAGTAGTGCATACTTGGAGTGGCAGCTATAGGTAGTATAAGACACAATCATGATATCAAATTTCTGACATTATTACTGCGTATACAATAGCAGTGGGCCGCCTATAGCACATGGGGAGCCCCTTGAAATAGCCTTTCGCCTCTCAATTTGCGGTCGGACGCGGTTGTGGCACCTTCGATGCGCGTGCCGAATGCGTGGAAAGGGGCACGTGACTTGCGTCCCGTAACTTATTGGGAGGATTGCATTCAGTGTGGAATTGTGCCGATGGCAAGTACCACAAGATTGGTAAGTTACATACGAGGCATAGTACTGGCAGCATTGAGGCCTCAGCCTGACGACGTGCATCTCAGCTACAGTATGCATGTGCACTGACTCAGTGACTCAATAGTAATGCTACCCGAGTGTAGTACTGAAGTAAATAGTGTATTGTGTATTGAAATAACTGTACTTGACACCGTGTATAGGATGATTGAAGGATCTAGCCACACACAGTTATGTTTGAGAGTTACAAACTTATATGATTTAGTATCACTGAGATCAATATATAATAACTAGGAGTATTCTTGATGCCGCGCAGCGCCCGGGAGGCTAGAAAGACTATTTACCTACTTGTAGAACCCTTGCCACTCATTTACCTTACGAGGAATCGGACCTGGCGTGCCGCGCAGCGCCGAATACTTCCCAAGTCTTATCTTCACTTGGTACAACATCGCTGTCGTCGCGAGACCGCCCTCCCGACCAATCACCAGCGGTTACGCAAGCGGGACCCCATGACCGCCGATGAGTGGCGGTCGCGGAAGTTGATTTCACGGAATCCTCCATGCGATGCCCCTTGAGGGATTTCTCGACAGGGCATCAAACTTCATAGAGGCTAGTGTCCCGCCCTCGTCAAGCGACTCGGAGGGCAACATCAAGACCAAAATATTTGTGATTCCTAGGTGAGGATTGTTCACGTATGTCTGACTATAGTTACTATGTTGAGAGAAGTCAGTTTCGGCTTCAATATCCGTGCAAGTCTTTCCACAAGAGATGATCCGTTGAGCGAGCTGTTTCAGTGTCTTCTGCGGAGAGATGTCCTGGTTGCCATTCCTTGTGGTACCTCTGGAGAGAGGGATAGCTTGTGGGATGACCGGGGGACGTCTGCAGGGCAATCCTCTGCGCATGAAGTCAAGGCCGTCTGGAGATTCACCAAGCCTGTGGACTGATTATAATTCTGACCGCTGCAATTAAGGCAGATGGGACTGAAAAGCGTCTCCTCGCTATGTCTCGATCTGGCTTAAGCCTCATATGTGGTGTTGTTGTAGCTGTGAGTGCTCATTAAGTGTTTTCACACAAGTCACAACTCCTTCACAGGCAACGCGACTTGCGTATCAGTATAAAATAGGCAGCACAGATCCCTGCGGTAACGTCCATCCGTTCCCTTTATGCAAACTTGTTACACAGCTTTTTGATCTATGGATCGCTATCGAGCCTTCGTGTGTCAAACACCCATTTATATGTTTTGGAGCTGTAATCTCATGCCAGAGACGACTCTGGGGCTTCGTCGTGGACGACTTTGATGTTGACATAGACGGGGTATTCCAAGTTCAAGTAATCAATTTAGTACGTTCCGTTCAAATCATGCAGCATACTCGCGATACTGATGGTACATCCATCAGCGTCTGCCAAATAAGTCGATGGTCCGATCTTAAGAAGCCTCCTCGCATTCTCGAGCGAACTACACCACAACATGACAATATCTTCCACTGTTATGGTTTGGTCTCTTACTACGTTCCTTTGACCAGAATGGCAGTCTTTCCATACTTGAAAACATTTAGTTCATACGGTAAAACTATCCTGTCGAAAATCACCTGGGTATGTTCACGATGTGCTACTTTGACTGGATAGAATTCATATATGTTCTTAGACAAGGGATCTCGCATCAGCCTTGAACCATCTGCATAGTCTCTCCGCCAGTTATCTATGGGTGCATTGAGGCGAGACCGTCCGCGTAGTCGGTGATCACTCGTTCAGACCTTCTACCAGGGACAGATCAGCTTGACGGCTGACAGAAGAATAGCGTTGCTCGAGTTCCATCGGATGGGGCCAGATATGTGGGTCAGGGACCTTGACCTCGACTGGAGCGAATACTACAGTAACGCCAAGTACGGGGCACCGGAATGCTTGCCCGGAGTGCACAGGAGTTATCCAACGACCTCGTCAGATACATACTCCTTTGGAATGATCGCATACGAGGTCGCAACTCATCTCTTCTCGCTCAAAGGTCCGCCCTCATTCATCTTCTTTCGATCCTGGCTGGTCGGTGCCCCTACCAGGATGCTACGAGCAAGACAGTGCCTCAAAGCGTTCAGACCGCCAAAAGAACCTACGAGCGCTGGTGTTGGTTGGGACTCGACCCGATCGGGTCTCGTTCGACGCACCACCTCACCTGGGTGACCAACTCTGGGAACTACTCTGCGCCTGCTGGCAACGCGAGCCCTCCGAGAGGCCCGCCACGGCTGAAGTTCTCCGTCGCTTGGACGGGCTGGTGGAAGTGTGCGGGGGGGGGGGGGGGCGTGCGCCGCGGGAGGCAAGACAGACGATAGTGATGAGGACAATGAACCCTTCTTTATGCCGTGCGGAATACCACACGTAATCGGCAAGGACGAGGACGACTGATGTCCCAGGGGGTGTACGTACGTTCTGATCATTTGCCAGCTCCCTTGCACTACCCCGTCAGTGGTCACTCAGCAGAATTAGCGTTTGCATTGTAACACCCCAATCGACAATCGGGCGAAAGATAGCCCAACGTCATGTGATTGTATGCACCGTCCTTTGAGCCTCATACTCATTTATGAGTACGCGAGGGTCTGCTCCCCAGACATCGCGCAAAGCTTTGACACGAGCCCAAGATAAACGAGAAGCACAATAGCTATAATTAGAGCGCACCTTCCGAACTGCAGCAAGTTGCGGCTTAAGTCAACGTCACCGTCCGACGATGACGGGACGCACCAGACGCTCCCTGGCGTGCGTACAGTCCGAATGACGCGGAAGCTGGTCCAAGAGTACTGGTAGGAAAATCCTTTCGGGACGGAGATGTCTCCCTGTGCACGGAAAGAGCAGCCCTGCCATGAGAAACCTTACTTGAAGTCTGTGATGGGCGCTCGCGACCGTGATGCCGGTGAGGGCGCAGACTTCATTTCAATGCAGTTGCGCCTTTCATACCGGAGGAATCGTAGCGACGGGGTCGGGAAATGGATGACGAGGGCTTATGAAGACTCGAGTAAGACGTCTTCGACTGCGAGACTCGCGGATACATACGCTTCGTCCTGCACTTGGTCATCAGAGCGTCGTTCGAAACGTCAGGAAGCGAGTCTTTCTGCTGATAAGTCTTAGCACCTGTACGGTACTGTGGGGCTCGAGCTGCCTCCAGTAGCGGTGAACAGAGGGAACTGAACGACGATTTAAGCCGCCTACATCGACCTCTGATCCCCATCAACAAACGCACCCAGCACAAACACAGGACACCTATCTCACAGAATGACGACGCCTCGATACAACCTCGCCATCGTGCTCTACCAGGGCGGCGACCTGCTCGACTACACAGGACCGCTCGAAGTCTTCAATTCGGTCTATACCCGCCCCTCCGTCGACGCGCCCGCGGTCTTCCACACCACCACCTTCGCGCGCACGTCGCCCATCAAGGCAGCAGCGACCGGCACGATGACTGTCATTCCCGACTCTACCCTTTCCGACCTCAAAGGACGCCTGGAGGAGTTCGACGTCCTCGTCATCCCTGGTGCGGGGCCGAAGATCATCAAAGATCTCATCGCGAGCGAGGAGGGGAGGGAGATAATGGACTTGATCAAGCACTTCCTGACCTTGAAGCCGCGCGACGCGCATAGGGTCCTCCTGTCCGTCTGCACCGGCGCCTTGATTCTGGGCGCTGCGGGCGTCTTGCGCGGCAAGCAGGCGACGACTCACCATATGTTCTACGACATGCTGTCAGAGGTATCTGCGAAGGCAGGCGGGGAAGTCGAGGTGCTGAAGGGGAAGAGGTGGGTCGATGCTGGGCGGAACGAGGCTGGTGTCAACATCGTGACGACGGGTGGCGTAAGTTCGGGGTTGGATGGGAGTCTGTACATTGTCCAGGAGCTGGCGGGGAAGGAAGCGTCGGACTTTGCGGGAGAAATCGTGGAGTTCGAGAGGAGGCAGGGGGAAGAACCGTGAGACTGAGAGGCGGGACGCAGTTCGTACGGCTCCTTTCTCACCCATTGTACATTTGAGCTGGCCAATCCGCATCGTGGTTATACATCAGGTCCCAACGAATGTTGTTGCCACAATCCCCACTCGTACCGTTCATCCTACCACCTCTCCCAGATCAGGGAACGGTTCAAGCACTCTGATGGTCTCGTCGTGCGTGGTGCGGGTCGGAGGTGATCACGAAGGGGAAGCAGGTACTAAGTTTGATGACGAGGTTCGTGAGTTTGAAGCTGCGGGGCGCGCATGGCGTTCAGCTGGCTGTCTCAGTGTCTGTACGGGCACCATGATCATCGGCGGTGAGCGTTCTGAGGGGTAAGAAGGGACGATGCGTCACATGTTCTACGACAAGCTGTCGGAGTTGTCGACACACAGTGACATGTACAGACAAGTGGGGACATCGAGGTACAGTACTGAGGGAAAAGAGGTGGATAGGGGTGAACGAGGTTGTGGTCAGGATTGACAGCGGCGTGAGTTCGGGGATGGATGCGAGTTCGTATGTGGTCGAGAAAATGATTGGGAAGGAAGCAGCCGATTTTGCGGGAGACATAAGTGCTGCTCAATTCTTATTTCGTTCGTCCGTTCGTCTGTTCGTTCGATTGAGCAGGACCCCTGAAAATACCGATAGAGGTTAGATACCAATTCCGTAAAAAAGTGAGGTCTGGAGGCTGTATGTTAGATACGGTTGCGGTAAAATGTGGCGCAGCGCCCGTACACTGGGTACAATACCCATATTGAGCCACTGAGAAAGTGTGAAAGGAACCGGACAAAGGTCAAATTTTGTTCATAGTGTTGCCTTGCAAAACAAATGAAAGTTCAATGAACAGTGCTGAACAAAGATCATATCCTGTGTCACAATC